ACTTATTCCGGTTGCGTGCCATGCCCTCAAGCGTGTTAAGCCATTGGCACTCCTCATCCTTGGGTCCCCATCCTGGAAGACACGGGTTTAACGGTGGCTAGACTTGACATCAGCGATAACTTGTGCTGTCGCCAGGGTGAAGCTGACCACCACGTGGTCGCCTCCAATCACGCCCTTAACGAGTGAATAGAGAGCGACGCGGTAGGCTCTCAGGCACCATGCGTAGGACTTGACCAAGCCATCTCAACTAGCGTAGCAAAACCAGATTGTTTGAAGGGAATACTCGCATTCCCCAAGGCGCGACGCCTAACATCAATCAATGTGAACTCGGTTTTGCTACCAAACGAAGCGATTCACCTCAAATAATAAATAAGACAGAAAGACGGCGCATGTCCTCCATGCCAGTTGGCGAAGTCTCGCTCCCGTACAACAATACTGAACGTACTGATGCGCTGTAAACACGGCGCTTCAGCAAGAATGAGACGTCATGACGACGCCACAAGTGTCGCAGATTGGTAAATGCTGACCGGGCTTTTGCGTTGTGAAGATAAAGTTCCTTGCTGATTGAGCCGTCAGTAGAAACACAGCTCCCAAGGTAGATGAAACTATCCACCTGGTCAAGATGTTCAATTTCAAAAGTGAGCACTGGAGCAGGTGTAGACCAATCCAGGAGCAGCATTTTATGATTCAACGTAGCAAAGCTCATGCTATACTTAGATGCTTCAAAGGCCAAATGATCCAGAATGATTTGCTTACCGTGAGGATCGTCACCAAGTAAGGAATTATCATCAGCATAATCTAAGTCAGTTGCGCGCTTAACCGGTAGAAGCTCTTGGCTTAAATTTTGGAAACATTCTAGAGTACTCTACAGAATTTCTTCGATTGCGAAGTTGAAGAGGAATGGGGACATAGGGCAGCCCTGTCGCACACCGCTACTGACAGCGAATTGCGAGGAAAGCTTGCCACAGACCCTCACTCGGCCGGATGTATGAAGGTAAAGTGCCCGTAAGATGACGGCATATTTCTCTGGCAACCCCTTCCTTAGTAAGCAACGCCATAAAGCAGGTCGATCAACGGAGTCAAAAGCGGCACGTATGTCTAGGAATGCAACAGTAGTGGACCTGTGCTAAATCTGGAGCTGTTCGAGGAGTTGGCAGAGAGTGAAGATTTGATCCACGCATCCGCCGCCGGGACGGAAACCAGCTTGTTTTTCGCTGTAGAATGATTCACGTATTGCGGATAGTCTACGGAGCAAAAAGGATGCCATTGAGTTGGAGGCAACCGAAATAAAATTAATCCCGCGAAGCTTTGCAGCTGAAGTAGGAACGTCTCTCTTGAAAATTGAGAAAGTAACTGATTCGCCCCTGAGGAAGGCACTTTCTCTTTATGGCAGGTTTTTGCGTAGAACGAAGGCAGTTCGTTAATGATCGCCGTGCCACCGTACTTGAATAGCTCCGGAGGAAGTCCATCTAAGCCGGCAGCCTTGAAGCGCTTCAAGCGTCGAATCTCGAGACAGAATTCTGCTTCGCTGGTTGAATTCAGTGGAACGAGCCAGGGTGGACAACAAGGTGTACTGCATGCGCTGATGGACGGTGGAGGCCAGTTGAATTGCGAGTGAAGGTGCTCGGCCCAACGGTCCAAACGCCTCTGTTGTTTGATGATCGGAAACTCATCCACCTCACAAATAACCCCACTGACACCAAGCTTTCTGAGGTCAGTGGACCGAATGCGTTGGAAAAGCTCGCGTGTGTTGCCAGAGAGGGCAGCTGTCTCCATCTCTAAAGCACCCTCAGACCACCAGGTCTCTCGATCCTTGAGTAGACTTTGCTTGAGCAGCCGATTGTCAGAACGGCACTGTTCGTCACAATCTGATTCCGTCGGGATATTTTTGCGGCGGTCGAACAACTTCAGAGAGCGATCAGTTACCCAAGCCTTTAAGGGACGCCGAGCTAGGCCGCAGCTTACCTGTCCTCAAATGGTCATCGCTTTCTGTATACAAGTCCAGTGTTGCTTCACGTCTTGGAGTGGATTCCAATTAAGTATGCCAGTGAAGACCGATAGCTCGCCTGAACGATGGAGTCAGTTAATCTGTTTACATCAATCTTGCGGTGCTTCATGTTTTGGGACTCGCCAAAACACATACAGATTTTTGCGCAGACCAGTGCATGATCTGAGTCAGTGAAGGCGGACCAAAAGGACCTGCAGTTCAGCGTACTGTCAAGCCAGTTTAAGCTGTGCAATTTGATCGATCTGAGGCCACGGTTGTGTTTGGTAAAGAGGGACGCTAAATTGCTTAACGCTTCTTCGTATGCCTGAAATCAGTGCTCCAGAGAAACAGACGGTTGTCTTCGCACAATGTGACAAACCCCTCTCCGTTATCAACGTGTTCCTCATGGAGCGCTTGGTGACCACCAAGGTGGCGTCCAAATGCTAACAGGCAGCCAACTCGTGCATTAAAATCCCCAGCAAGGACAACGGCATCCGACTTTTTAGTATTAGTCAAGAGCTGATGTAGATCCCGGTAAAAGTCATCCTTGACTGAGTCGCCACTGCAGTCAGTTGGAGCGTACGTGGAGAGCAGAAACATTTCGCGTCTCTCTTCGCGGCACTTGCTGGTTCTACATGGACTCCGAAGCCAAACCGTACACGTCGGCTGTTAATCGGTAATCAGTGCCGTTTTGCTGCCTCGGCCTAGCCAACTAGTGCTCTACCTACACAAGACAAATCCACTGTGGCTGTTCCTGGCTCTCCAGAAAGACACAGGTGATATCTGGCTTCGTGGTCTGTGGGGGATGTCAATGTATGCACAGTGCTGGGGACTTGCAATCGGATTTCTGAAAGGCAGGGTGAGTCAATATCCAGGGACCCCAGGGTGCGTGCTAGACCGAGTTGCTGTCCAATCTGCATGTGTCCGAACGTTGAAGCACGCCAGACGGAACGAGGATAGGGGACGAAGAAGAGCCATAGGTTGAATTTCGTAGTTCGCTGCGCAACCGGAATTGCAGCCAGCTTTTTGAACACAGGTAACAGAAAGTAAGAGTTGCTAGCAAACGAATAATTGGCGTGTGATGAAGTTGCGTGAGTGTAAGAAGCGGAAACGGTAGGCGATAAACATGTGGTAGAACAGCCCATTGTTTTGTACGTGGCTGTGAAGAAATTCAAATGTGATTGTCGGCCTTCTCTACAGGATTAGTCACACATTCCATAGGAAGTAGCAAGTCAAATACCATTGCATCGTGGGCTTTATGGACAGCATTTCCAACGATACTTGCTTGTTAAGCTTCCGTCGGAAATGGTTGCGTTTTGGCAATAAGTTTAGCTGTTTGCTCCGTCTTACCAGGTTCTTCTAAAGGCGCTTCTGTCTCCGAATATGGTCAACCACGATCTGATGAATAAATCAGTAATTTCTTTTCTGCATTATCGAAGTAATATACTCCAGGAAACTCCTTCACTCTGTCCAGAGCGGAGTTTCTCCCAAATGCTGTTTCATTTACTGCGATGAGACCTATAAATGTTAAAACCTGTCGATTACAATGATTATAACGAAATTGCATTTAAAGTAGTTTTCTTTATAAAGTTCGCATCACTTCTGTGATTCCGTGAAAATTTCATTTGTCGCGAAATTTATAAATTCCGCGATTGTTCTGCGTTGTTGCAGGAACGCTGAAAACTGGGACCTTTATCTATCACTAAGGTAACAGAGATAGTACGATATATTATGTTACAGTCTGTTGTGAACGCTTCAAATAACAACGAATTTCTATGTAGAGAGATGTCTAAGCGGATATACAGAGCAAATGCCCTTGGTCAATGAGGGACATTACATTTGAAGACATACTTGTGAGTTCTTGCAAGCAACTAGATTACCATCATCGTCAAATGATGGGTACTAACACAGCTCAGATGGTCTGACCACATAAAACGGACTAATTTTCTAATAATAATAGGCGGTCTCACGTACTTGCAGTGTCATCCACCCACCTGCCAGCAAGGCTAGAAGATGACTACCATCCTCCACAAAGTTAGACGGGTTCGTAACACCGACTGGATCCTAACGGATGCTCATTACGTGGCTTTCGGGTGTCTACTAGTGCGGGTTTCTACCACAAAGTAGAGGTAGCAAATATGCACAAGGATGGCGATGAAACCATATGCGCTCCCGGGTGTGAATAAAACAGTGGCAGATTATCTTAGGCAATTCTGCTTTGAAACTTGAGGACAAAGGAACGAAAACGCTTACGCTTAGCGAATTCGTGAGGTTTTATGAGCATATTAGTATCACGGAAGTAAACAACACTCTTGTTTCTAGCGCGTATTCCGTGGTCTAGGTTCAGGAGACTCGTCGTATATGCGCTGTTAATGGGTCCCATTAACATAATATGACCACCTAGCGGTTAGCTGGATGTTTGCTGGCTCAAGAACCAATTCTGTCTACGACCAACCACCGCAGTATATATGTTATTTATACGTAAACTTTTAAAACCACTGCAATTCCAAAAGAAACTGAAGACCAGGCAAGTCAGTCCACGTTAATGTTGTTCCGCAAGGTATAAGGCACATTCGCACCGACTACGACTAATTCACAACCGATTCAATCCGAACGAGAAGTGATCGCTTTGATTACAATCAGTCGATAAACAGTCTAACAGCATTACCGCTGATAGACAAGACAAACAGCCTAGTTAAGCCATTTTTCGTAGTGACCTTTGATTCATGTAGCAGGACCTTCTTGATGTACAATGAGGTTGCCACACATGTGCTATTTCAAGTACACTCGTTTGTGACAGTCAAGCTCCATTCTCGTATCTCCTGAACAAAGTTCCAACACACTAAATGTAAGGCGATGTTGTTGGTGGAGTACTAGTCGGCGGACTCGGGGCCTCTGCACCCACACAAGGTACTTGCTCATCTATTTCTCCCGTGACGATGCAATTTGTCATTATTTGTTGCACTCTGAGCAGGCTGTATGAATCCTTCTATGATTTCTCTTTTATTCACAGTTAATATGGTACAAAGGAAGCGCACATATCGCGGCTCGACGTGAATTTGTACAGTTTGTGCACGAAAACAAGCGGGCGATTCTCATCCTTCAGGTATTGAGAGATTTTGAGCAGCAAGAGGGAAGGGGCGTCATCGCGGATGAGACATACTTCCCCACCTTGAACCACAATCCGGTGTCTTTACCGGTTCCAGGTGCTTTCCTGGGTGTGCACGAATCAGACGTTTTCAAACCACCTATCCGAGCCAAAGTGTGGTATAACACCAAACTACCTTGTCGCAGTGGCAAATGGATCAGGGGTATCTGCATGCTAGGATTGCGTGATGTGGATTGGCTGAAGGACAGACCCGAACTTTTCGCCAACAAGTTTATACCGTCAGTCGAACCGGAAGGGTACACCGAACTGGAACGATGGTTGAGAGAAAAGCTGTTATACGAATCCGCTCATAACTGTTTGCATCCTTCATTCAACGCCACTCACTACCTTTCGCTGGAATTGCGTTGGAATCACTTATGAATAATCAGCTCATTAGCAAATCGGATACAACACCCTTGCCAGAGACTTGAAACATGACATCTTGTGCGTCAGGTTTCTGGCAGAACATTCTGCCGTCCTATCTTATTCAATGCAGAGTGTGAATTGCCCATGTGCACACATAATTGATCTGATGCGCCCTATTTCGTGATGAACATTCCGCGTGAATGTACCTTTCTGTACCGCCGTTAACGTTCACCAAAGGGACAATCAATCTGGCAAATGCTTAGTAATTACCGGATATGTTATGGCTTCACTGTCTTAGAAACTTTTGACCCAAAGTACTCAGATATCTCGGGGTACGAACAGCTGTGAGAAAACCCCGCCATTGAGGAACAATGAATACTCTCACAGTGCCACCCTGTAATCAACGAACTTTTGGTTGACTCAAGCAGGATAGTCGCCTTAACCCTAAGTGTAAAAAATACCGTCCGCATCGAATCGAACTTCACCTGTACCTCCGCAAACGTGCGTACAATTTGAAGCTAATCAATTCCACATTCCTCTCGTTTTTAGTTCTCAATGCTCTCATGACTATCAGGTATGTTCCATTATTTTGGCATCTTTTCTATCACCCTGACCAAATTGCCTTGCTTATTTTTCCAACCAGCTTGCCTTTCTGCATTTCTGTGAGGGATTTCATAGAGTGAATATGTATGATTTTGCAGATAATATTGCATTTCTCACAAATGCCTATTTTAGCGTTTGAATTTGAAAATCTCATGTGCCGCTATCCGCTCCAGTTCATTTGTGAATGAGAAATGATAAACCAAACAAAACTATATTCTTCCCGGGTGCAAGTGTACAAGCAATGAAAGTGCTTTAAAGAGGAGCGAAAGGTGGAATTTGAATGGAATTTTCCGGCTGAGTTTCGACACAGTCAGATATTACAAAAGTTAGGAGTTAATGCTATCGGACTAGAGCTGCCAAGCTTAGGAATTCTCGACTCCATGGGCCAACACATTCCCATGCATTCTGAAAACACATATAACAATGGAGGATGCGTATGCGTTTTTTAACCTAGTCAGTTACCTAGTCACGGCGATTGCCGCCCCCTTCTCCTTGGAACGGGGGGTCTCAACTACGGACACGTATGCCTCAGGTCGTAGATTCGAGCTCCACAAGCGACAGATGGAATGAGCACTACTGACGATTTCCGAAGTGATGAAACGGTTGTCCAATACTACTCGGAATGTGCACTGGCTGTCTGACTGGGTCTCGGTGTGATAAATCTCCATTAAAATGGAAAATTTTCAGCTTACCTACAATGGCAGAAGACGTAGTCTTATTTAATCAAATGAAAACTCATGAATGGTATAATAATAATAATAATAATAATAATATGATGATGACAGAGAGAAGCAGTTATATGGATTGGCTCAAGCTTCATTAGGCATAATCAACTGAAATATCTTCAACTGGAACGCTGTGTTATGATCCTTCACACCCGGTGGTGAATGGGGCAGAAACTGCAGCCTCTCGCTGAGGTCTAAGTACATCATTCTCCAACTGAGATACTGGATAAATACAGATAACGGATGTACTTATACAGCAGTAAAGTTACATAATGTATGTCGCTGACATCTTTTAGATTTCGGATCAACTGATTAGCGATGAAGACGCCTTGCAAGCAGTGCTGCATGTGTTTGGCTGCCCTTCAACTTACATAACGACGAACCGTCACCTCCGCACAAAGTCCCGATGGGATGTCCTCGCTTGAAATTAATTCTTGTGTAGTAGCACCACTGCAATAATAGCTTAATCTTTGCCCGCCCTCGCCTCTGTGTGAACAATGCAATATACCCAAACAGTATTTTTAAATTTTACTATCTATTTTGTAAGGCAGCACGAACACCAATTCTTTGGTTTGAACCTTGGTGCCATTCTGATATCACTTGATTTTCTGTAGTGTTTAGTCGCCGTTTCGTGACAAAGCTAAATGTTGTTACACGGAGAGCTATCAGTATCAAAAGAAGCCTCAAAGTGTGTTTCACTAGCAGTAATTCTTAGTCCTTATTCTTGCACTCCCTTTTGATAAAGTTGCTCAACCCCTCACATCAACATACTTGGGTCCACAGTGTCTTTGGATGTTCGTTGTTTTAACGGGGTGATGGAACACAGTCGCCCCCAGTCACACCTTTGAAAACTGGACGCAGTCCAACAGGAAGCAACGCGTTTCGCTTTACCTATGGTCCGATTTGAAAACCTCGGTGGTTGCAGGTCATGGTTCTACATTGGCTATACCTTACCGCTGTAGCAGCTTGTTCTCATCTGCTTCCGCCCAGCCTCATGAAGGCAATCGAAGTGGGTGGACTAACATGTATGTCAATGTAAGTAGACCGATTGGTAGACAAAGGCGTGATTTCTTTCGCTGATAACCTTCTGTGAAGTTATACCTTTCTCCAAGAGGACCGTCCTACGGAACTTGTCAAACCCTAGTCTTTTACCCGCATTTTACTGCTATCCAGTGGCGCCGACAGTTAACTGAGTGAATCATGTGAACTAAGCGTGCTAAGGTACACACAGAGCAAGAGTAGTGACTCAATAAACCCCACCACAAGCGAGCACTTATTCGTTGGTTATTTGACTTACATATGTGAGATTTCATTCGCGGTCAATAAGAAGTCATGACGTAGCTAGGGACAGAGGCTAAGCAAGAGGCCGCGGGGAGGTGTCCGCCTCGAGTGGCACATGACTGGAGGCGGCGTTATTAAAACAAATAATTTTTCGATAGCGAGTGTAAGCGGCAAACTTTCCAGATAAGCCGATGGTTAAATATCGTGACATTGCTTCGGATAACTAAAAACACATTTGCGACAGTTTGTCACATTTGTCGGTCCTCTGTTCTCTTGCCTTTGCGCATATCTGTCCCGTTACACATTGCCCTTTCCAATGCAGTTACCCGTGAACGTCTCCCACAAGGCGTCGTACAGCGACCACATCATTGCAAAGAGTTCTACGGTGCAATATAATCGTCTGTGCGGTCTCGCTTGCTGATTCTGACCTTCGTGAAAAGCTTATGGCCACCCCAGGCTGCAACAGTAGTTACTACCTCATTGGCAAGAGAGCTTAAGTCAGCATCTAAAAGAATAAATTTATCCTCGAAAAGATCTGGGTACACCACGTTTCTGGTATAAACCAACAATACACAGCGTTTTCTGACTTCCCAGTGACGGTACACTTTACATCTGCGAGGACTCACACACTTTCAATCAAGTCAGGTAGCTGAACTATGATTCATGCTTAAAAATCTCATTGATCCAGCTGTTTACCTCACATCACCCTATGGAGAAAATGTAAAAGGTTAAAACAACGGAGGAATGTGAGGTAAAACAACAAACATACTGACGACAATAGGCAGAAGTAATGGTTCAAAAGGCAGCGTGACACGCAGAGCGCCATTCTGAAAGTGTACTCGCAAAGCTTCCTGGAGGTTGATATCGCTGATAGAGGCCCTTATGCGGAAGACAATATGCACGGAACTACTCGGTGTGCAGTTATGAGTAGGGGGTTGCTTTGGGTTTTATCGGTTGCTCATCACAGTTCACTAGCAATCGGGTTTTCTCCTAGACAGCCGTTTCATAATAATGGGTCCGACTCTACCAACAACCGAGCTCATAAGCGCCCAACGCTCATGTTCCGCTGTCATACAGGTTACTAAATTTGCCGTGGGCAGGCAGCTGACCCATAAGGCTATGATTTCTCGTATAGCAGATAGATATGAGTAACATTCACGACCTGCACGAACATAATTTTTGATGAACTAAGTCTTGACGGTTTGCATCGTCATCCATGATCTAATGACCTACATGGCTGGTGTCAAGGTGTCATTGGTCCCGTTCCTGTTGCAGCCAGTTGATGCCTACCGCTAAAGAATCCCATCTGGACGGAATGGCCAGGTTTTTAAATGACCATTTGACGTCCAGTTAACTGCGACGAAGTATCTATAACAGCACACTGTATACCTTCGTACATTTCTCTTATGCTGTAACAGTGACAGATAGTGCACTCTGAGATGGGCGGCGGGCGGTGAAAATTTACCCTGCATGGGTGCATCTAGCACATTCTTGACTTGAATTGACTTATGCAAGCGGTTTGTATTTAGTAAACAGACCGGCGTGGCACCCCGGTTTCAGTTACCAAGCCCCAGCTAGAGAACTCCAGCACGCACGTCGGATACGCGTAATGATACATAGACAACCTGAACTTGGTACGCGTAGTTACATATTGAATGATTTTATCACTAGATTTGATGCTGCTACCCAGCTAAGGAAAACGATTAGCCCATTTGCTTACTTGTTCACTAACATTGAAGACCAGCGTAGCATCGAGATAAGGTGTGGCATTAACCTTACGTTGCCGTACAAGTTGAGACCACAGGTACATGCCCAAGCGTCCAGTGATGGTGTAGGAACAAGGTCCTACTCTAAGAGGACCATAGTCTACATTGTCGCTATCGCACTGATTGGAGCGTTTCATGAGGTCTTGATTCAGATGTGAGGAAGCAGCGCTTCAGAGTTGCAAATAGCACTGACTTTCTTTGTTCACCAAGCCCTCATTGTTCACTAATCTACCCGGTCAATTCGGAAATTCACCGTTCATCATCGAACCAGGGCGTCGCAGCCACTAAAGCCAGTCTAATGAGGGAAGCATTGTCGATGTTTCAATGTAGTCAACACGCTATATGATCAACTCAGCTCGAGTGAACCAGCCGTTTCAGATTTGATCAAAACACACTGGTAACGCTACAGTCCGTGAAGTATTTTTGTCAGGTGTTTCGCGGGTATCCAAATGGCAACCTACCTTGTGGTGGAAAGTTTCTCTGAGGCATGGAAAACCAGGTCTGCTAGGGTATGCATGATAGCTAACCTGATTCCGTTTTACCTGATGGATGCACGGTAGTTATGAGCCGGTGTTGTGCAATGAAACCATGCCATAATACCAATTACAGAAGAGTAGTAGGGGGAGTTGAGTGGTATAGGTAGAAATTCGTCACATCTAGACTCACTCAGATAGCCGCCACACGCCCGGAAAAGCACTGTACACGCGTTTCATCCTTTCTGGAATCATCAGCAGTGCGCATTCCATCGGACCCTTGGTAGGGCTCGAACCCGCATCTAGACTGTCGCCAGTCCGTGGTTGAGACCACTGAGCTACGGGGTGACGAATTTCTACCTATACCACTCAACTCCCCCTACTACTCTTCTGTAATCAGTACGCAGACCAAACTGCTTATAATGCCATAAGTTAATTGGCGGCTTAAGTTTGGTAAGCTGGACGCTTGGTGAGGGGTCTACCCTGTCCTCTGCACGGCAGTAACGTGTAAGTCAGTGGATAGTGAGCAGTGCTATATCACATCTAGTAACTTATTCACGATGGTTGTTGCCGTCCCCCGTAGCTCAGTGGTCTCAATCACGGACTGGCAACAGTCGAGATGATGGTTCGAGCCCTACCAAGGGTCCGATGGAATGCGCACTGATGATGATTCCCGAAAGGATGAAACGCGTGTACAGTGCTTTTCCGGGCGTGTGGTGGCTGTCTGAGTGAGTCTAGATGTGACGTATTTCTACCTATAATACGAATTTACAACAACAAAGGCTTGATGTCCCTCGTGAGATTATGATTTGTGTGAAACACAAAGATGCAGAGGGAAAAATCGTCCAGAAGGCAAACGGCGGATTGGTGGACTCACCAATTTATTAGCCACTCTGGCACACACAGAAATCCGTCTATCACGATTTCGTGATGGGCTGGTTAGCACACTGCTTGTTTGCC